CAATCTGCAGCCCTCAGACCTGGTTTAAATTGGTTTTTGTCAAACATTCTTCTAGGTGGTATAGCACTGGTCAGTGCATTGCTGTACAGAGGTTAACTCATGGTTGCTGTGATGCTAAACACTGTGACACTGATGTGACAAATGTGATAATGGATTCCCATGGTGGACAGTGGTTGGTGGAGCTCCCCGATTAGCTTGGAAATAGGAGTGGCATCCACTTCCGAAATGACTTGCCTCCAGAAACTCTATGAATAGTGCTCAAGTCTTCCATTCACAGGGTCGATATGAGTCGTCTATGACTCAACAGCACTTATCAACAACCACCACCTTGCAGTTAGCAGCTAAGCATTTGAACCATTAAGTAGATAAAAGTACAACCAATAAATAAACATGTACAGCTGCTCAGATGACAGAAAAAACTCAAGCAAATCAACGTTCTTTTGATACAGTAGCATGCATGATGGCAAATGGCATCCTCGAAGTCCTGTTTGCATGAGGACTATAATATTAGCATGTGGGAGGCTTTAGGAAACTTCCGGGATTCACCACTGTAGGTTTGTTCCTCCTTATCATGCTTTTTACAAATAGTAGTTAGTCTTCCTCTCTTACAATCTAAAATTCCATTGTAGAGATATGTGTTTTGAAGGGGTTTTGTTTTGAGATTATTTCACGAGAGGAGGCAGTGAGAGAAAGGAATATAGTGTTTAGAATCAAAGGCTAGGTTTGAGCACTTGCCCTAATTTTTTTTTTTTTTTTGGTGGTTTGTTGGACATGGCTCACACTGGCTTACAAGAAACAATTGTAAATATTTCTTCCTAGTGCAGCGTTCGGTGAGCTCAGGATGGTAGCTTGAAATTGTTATGCCACCAGATGCTGCTGCAGAGATGAGGAGGAGGACACAGGATAGGGCAGAGTTCAGATCCTTTATTCATAGGGTTCAAGGACATGTAACAACAAAAACTAAAAGTTTGGAGGTTGGAACCCAATTGCTCTGTGGGAGAAAGATCAGTAGTCTCCTTCTATAAACATTTACAGCCTCAGGGGGAGCTCTGGTGGCCT